AAAGAAGGGGAGGGAATGGGTCCCCCCCGCTTGTTGATATAGAATACAGCTGTTGTATTGTCTGTAGCTACCTTCGTATCATCTGTATGACTCATGATCAGCTGTTCAAGGGTGCAGAAGGCTTTGATAACAGCCAGATGTTCCAGATGGTTGTTGTGCAACCAAGCCTCGTCTGGGGACTATAGGCCATGTACAGTCACTTCATTGCAGTGCACTCCCCACCAGTTGGGCTGGCGTCCATGGTCATCTGGATCAACAAGGCAGCTGTTGAGGTTGAAGCCTGTGGCTGTTGGTGGTCCTGACGCAGTCTATACTGTTGGAAAGTGTAGGGACGGTGCCAGGTGTTGTGCGGCCGTTACTGCTGGTTAGAGTATGATCTAGCGGTCTTCCTCAATTTCAGCAGGTTGTCTTCTATCTTCTCGCCACCTGTTTGGAGGCAGCATCCACTACATGGCATGCTGCCATACGCTCCTGCTGGGCCAAAGCCATGGCCTCCTGATGGCAAGAAAGTTCACGGTCCTGGATGTCTTCTGGTGCCGCCTGCAAGGCAAGCAATGCCTTATTTCAAAGGTGGCGATGATATATGCCCATGACCATGGTGTAATTTGCCACCCTTAGGATGAAAGATGCCAGAAAATAAATCCGGCAACCGACAATGTCCAACTACCTACCCTCCTTGTTACTTGGGGTAGACGCTGAGTGGTTTCTGGCCCTGTTCTGAGTTGCATCTACCACAAAGGAGATGGAAAGAGGGCATTTCAACAGGAACTCTGTATTGACACCATGGGTCTTGTACAGGTTCTCGACCTTCTGGGAATCTGTTGGGCGGAAGATGGCTTACTTCAGGCCTCCTTGATGAGTTTATGGAGAGATAGTATAAAAGCCAGGTGAAGAGGACAACTGTGGTCTTGGGTGATATCTTCATAGACCTTGTCCACCTCTTCAGATGCTGGCTACTCCACAGCCAAATCCATCTCCTTCACAATTCTCAGAATTGAGTATAGGAGGAATAATCTTCTGACGGAGATTGGAGGGGTGTGAGTCTCTGCAACATCAGAATCTGGAGTGGGGCTGTTTGGTGGGGAGTCCTTAGGCATCTCTACATCAGATGCATCTGAGTTGGTGTCGAGCGGGATCAGGAGGTGCTCCAGCATAAGGGATAGTTCGCCTTGGTTGGAAGGCAGACGGTACGTCTCGGGCTCAATGCAGGCCAAACGAGTTTCCTTCTCTTTTTGCATTACAGGTTGACATCAAGATGGAACCAGCAAGGGACCATGCTGGGACCCCGGCTCCAGGCGGGATGGGCAGCTTGGCATTGAAGCCGGTAAGTAGTGGCGCTTGGGCTCAGGCGCTGCTTGTCCATCATCCAGGAGGGCTCTCTTTTCAGTACTGGTGCGGAGATGTTGAGACCTGGTATTCCTTGTCCTAGACCTGACCTCACTCCACATATTCTTGATATTGAGGCAGAGAGGGTGAAAGCAAAGGCGACCTGATTCGGTAGAATGTGTACGCCGGGCAACGCTGGTATTGGGGGCTGACATAGCACAACCTCAGATGATAGTAGAAGTCAGGCTCAAAGTGCTCAGGTTTATAGTATGCTGGGTGGCCGTAAACACACACCCTCTTAAGGCCTTGATACCAATTAAAAGCCTCCTCGAAAGCAGCCACATATTGTGGATGGTAGTGATAGCCTTCCGCCTCCCTGGAAGGTTCTACATGGTGTGTTTTCCATGAACTCTTCCTAGGAGGATCCAGCAAGTTCCTGGTGCTGACAAGGAGGCATGACCTGAAAGCGAGCCAGGAGGACACCTCAATCTTGTCTGTACCACTGGAATAACCTCAGACGAGGTAATCCCCCATTCCGGAGAGTGACTGCATTGCAGGGAATGTGCAACATCAGATGGGAGGAGAGTAGTAATCTCTTCCCCTGATAGCAGATTAAGGCATACCAGCTCCTGACAAGGAGGATCATCCAATGGAGGCGAAGGCCCAGACTTATCCGCAGGATGCTTGGCCTTCTGTGAGGTGGAAGAATTCTTCTTTTTCTTTGGTATTGGTACTGACGCCAGCTTTGGCATCAATACCGAGGAGATTGCTCTCGGCCCTGACTTTGAAGGATGAGACTTTGTAGTCATCTTTGAAGCCTTTGACAAGTGTTGAGGAAGGTGAATGGCCTGATCCTGAAGAAAGGTCTGTGATATGGGTTTGAGAATCCTCCATCACAGTTTCCTGTGACAGACACAGGGACTTCAAACAGAGGAAGGACCAAAGTTGTTGAAGCTGCAACTTAATGGCTAGCTTAGTAAAGTTTTTGCAGTGGGGTACAGTGCTGGCTGATGTGCCTCACCCAAACAGATCAAATACTGTGAATGCCTGTCAGAAAGGGTAATTTGGTTTGGGCAGGATTCACATCGCTTAAATAGGCCCGAAGCAGCCATAAACAAAACAGAAAAAAAAAACACGGTGGAGGGAGGGTAGCAAAAAAAAAAAAAGTAACAGTCCGTTTTTCTTCTTTCTTTCCAGAACTCCCAGGCAAAGCATCAACATGGTGCAGTTTGAGTCAATATCCGGGGGGCCCCACGAAATGTAAGTAGTTTAGTAGAAACAACGGGAAGCTCCAAACTGAGGTGCTGCTGCAGCAGCTGCAAGAACGGAACTGAGGCACTCAGTGATGGGGGTGGGGTTATGGGTAGTGTGGGGGAGATCCCGGCACTATGTGCTTAAAGCTCTAGAATATTCCGAGGTTCTCTGTTCAAGCACATTAGAACTCATTAGTGTGCATTCACAGAGACCAAGAAGAAGAAAGAAACACCCCAACTTGTGAGCAGTTAATTGACCAGGGGAGGTAGGGGAAGGGAAACATGTACGAACCGACATGAGCCTCTGAACCGAGGTTCTTCCCCATCTCCAGTCCTGACTAATAGGTTTAAAGGTTCAGATTGCTCCAAACCTGGAACTGAAAATGTATTTATTGAAAGCACTCAGGACTTGGACAAGCACAATTGCTCTATGCTTTTGTAATGCAGAAATACTCTGAATATGTCTTACATAATTGTATGCCAGTTCCTTGAAAATACATGTCAAAATGTCCCCCTTTCTGGAGGACTGTCACTCAATAACTTTCTTTAACGTAATCCTGCTTTTTTGTTTTTAATCTTTAAAGAAAAGTCATTTGACTCTGTTTCTGTGACATTTACTAATTGCCTTACAGTTCTCTGTACAATTCTGTTCTCTGCCCATGAAGCTGCAACAATGTATCCACTTTGCAAAGCTCTTGTTGGCAAGTCTGGTCCATGTATGCTCATTATAATAAGAAACCACCGTTTCTGGCATTTGAAAAACCTTTTTGGACGATCAATATTTCAGCCCCTGCAGTCTGGATTTTTTAATTTTTTTTTTTAAAGCGGATGGGACTAACCATTCTTTTTCAAGATAAGCAAGACTGGTCTTTTCAATTTATATTAGCTGTTGTAAATCTGGAGATGTTTAGAAGCACCTATTTCTGAAAAGGGATAAAACAGTTTTACTTTTTAAAAACCATAACTTGGGAACCCTTTGCCCAGACTTCCACAAATTGGGCACAACTTTGTGAAATGTTGTGTTGACTTGAAGCCAAGTTTAAAACTTACAATTTAGGAGGGGCTGCCCCCATTTTTAGAATTCCCTTATAACAGCGACAACAATGGAGAGAATGACATATGAGCAAACTGAAAACAAATGATTTTTGTACGTTCCTTCAGGACAATTCAGTTGCTACAAAATATAGTAGCAAAAATATGTTTCTCATATGGAGAATGCTTTTAAAGATCTGCTAACTAAATACATAAATAAATAGCTTCAAGTACTGCTAAATAGAGCAACAAGAGTTCAATTTGTTTTATATTTCTTTATAGGAACTGAGGAATAAAAAAGTGTACTTTTGTCTAGTGAATGATTCTCCTTCGTTGTGAATGTGTTAGCAGTAACCTACATTAGAATGTTTTTTTTTTGTTGTTTTTTTTTGCTTTAACCTGTTATTACATGGGGGAAAATGTTAAGAATTTAAAATAAAATCCATTCCCACAGCAGGACAGCCAAATAAAGGGGAGGGAATAAAAGTGAATTCACTAAAGCTACATCCTGATAAATGTTTGCAGTTTCATCACATACAAATTGCTGACAGTTACTTAAAAGATTAAAGATTTAAAAGATTAGAGTTTGCTGCTGGCAATATGGATCCAAATGCTAAAAATTGTATGGCAAATGGCTAAGCAGTATTGATAATTCAATGCAATTTGAATATTCCCTGAAGGTAAGCTTCATATTCTGGATCATGTTTTTTGTTTTTTTCTATTCGTTCTTCATGCAATTAATTGTAATAACCCAAAGACAGCCACTGGGAAAGACATCAGCAAGGGCCCAATTTAAGAAAAGGGAGTAGCAGGATTTCTGTCTTTAATATATTTTAATGCACATGTATAGGATACATATGAGAAAACCGGGGGGGGAGGATGTGAGGTGGAGTGGGGAGGAGAAAATGCATGTGAAAAAGTAATAGTACCCAAAGATACATATCCTAATTTGGAACTGGATCAGAATTTTTACTGCAGAGATAGTTTCCCTGCTTTCTCCTTCTCGCTGAAGGAAAAACAAAACAACAAAACAAAAACAATTACCTCCTCGAGACCATGGTCAGAATCATTGGGAATGCAGCAGAATATCAGGTTGTGGGAACAGACAGAAATCTGAGAAATACCTTCTACTGTCCCTTGAAAGCGGAAAGATTGTACTATTGAATGCAGCTCTTTGAAATTGCTTAACAGCTCTTGCATCATGATTTGTAGACGTTAAAATACTAATGTCTTAATACAGAAATCTATTTCTTCTGATACACATGAAAAAGTGGTTGGCAAACAAAAAAAACCCTCCAACAATTATTTTACAAGTTCATTAACAGATATATCTGTATTTCTCTATATCCATATTAATTGAATAAATGGTAACAGTTCATGTCAACTTACCAAAAACAGAGTCCGGAATGCACTTAGATCTCCAAAGAATTCTTCAATGCTCACAGCTTTGGGGTCGAAACAAAAGTAGTCCCCCAAATTATTATATAATTTGGCCATGTTGTTGTGCATATTTGATAGTTTTTCATACTGTTCTCTGGCACTCTTAGCAAAGCTGTAACCATAACGTTAAGGATCTTTGAATTAAATGAACAGCAAAGCAACTTTTTAAACACATGTTCTATCATTTAAAAGCAATTATCCTCTTATTTCATTATATAAAAAACATTTGTACTAAAACTATGATTTGCATGTTCTTACATGAGTCAGGCCTGAGAAAATCCCTCAAAGCCTAAAGGAATAAAAATTCACATTGAGATTCAACTTTAATCCCTGAAGATCTAATAGTTACTGAAATATGTCTTCTTGGTTTGCTCTCCTTGAGACTGGTCTTGACCAATGTGCAATAGGTAAGAACCTCGAACCTGTTATCCAAATATGAGTCAAGCAGGCAACATTGTATGTCATAGAAACAAGACTTAGATGTGTTTCATACACATAAAACTAGAAGTATGTTTCTGTATTTATCAAGAAGTTCTCACATTTTACAACTCTGCAAATAAAAAGTCAAGAAAAGTAAGTTATTTAATTGAGCAATAAAATCACCCAAGAAGCTTTCAATCTTCAGATAGGCTTGCTGGGTGATTACTAGGCAACCAGAACTACTGCAGAAGAGGTTCAACAGAGATTAGATTCATCAATGTGTTAAATAGGAAAGGCTTTTTATGATGTCATATTTTTTCTACAACCTTTATTTGAATTTATAAGTAGCTTAAAACATGTTTATGAATAATCTGGTGAGAATTATATGGTTTTTATTTTGCCTAAAAAGTCATATTTTGACCTTTTAAAAGTGTTATGTCATATTTCTGCTTAATTTTGTAATGAACGTTATAGTTTGGTCATATTTTGTTCATTGGCAACCCTTCCAATGATTTCAACATACCTAAGAGCAGATGTTTGGCAAATGTAAAATATAATTTATTGTCATTGTAAGTAAATTAAAGTAAATTAAAGCATTTGTTCAAGAGTCTGGGGATGAATTTTCAGTAGTGATGGTGATATTTTGTTTTGTAAATTGTTTGAACTTAAGGTGTTGTCCCAAAAGTGTTTCAATATTTAACAACATTGTGATCCTGCTAAACACAAGAGTTGTTCATCAAAATTTATCTTTTCTGAGAACAATGTCTCCCTTTCGAGCGAATTTCTTCTTCAACTGCAGGATCATCAAATATTCAGTTAGAATTTTGTAGGGATCTCTGTACAATGATGGTTACTTCAAATATTCCCTTAAATAAATTAGGTAGTGGTAGCTTCCAACATTTCATGGAGAAGTACACCAGTCACCAGATTCTAAATGAATCAACTCTAAGGAAAAACAACATCTCTGCCTGCTATGAAAATGTGTTAGGAAAGATAAGATCTCCTGCTGACAACAATGTAATGGGTTTCAATAGATTAAACAAGTGATGTATACAGAAGATATGTAGCTAATGTTATTATTGACACTCTGAAATGTGACAAACCTGGTGAAGTATTTCTTTTAACATATGAAGCTCTGCAAAAAGTAAACAATTCTACTATTGCTATGCTCTTTGATGATTCAAGGAAACTACACTGGCCAAATGGTGTAAAAAGGGGAAACATAAAAAGGGGATGCCACTCCACACAGGACTAAGGCAGTTAAGAGACTTACACTTCTCTGTCCAAAAATGATTCATATCACATTCCTTGAACATGGTATACAGAGTGGCTGAAGAGATTCAACGTAATTATCCTGGTGTAGATAAGATCATTTCAATTGGAAAAAAGAGCTAATTAAAGCTTCACTTTGAGTACAAAAGATCAAATAAATTGCTCCTACTCTGGCTCTCCCTCCTCAACCTGTCATGATACATTGGGGCACTTGAATGTATGTAGCTATTTATTATTGCACAAATTATGATTCCTTGCAGTGGACTAATACAAGCTTCCTTCCTCCATGTGCAAGATTCCTTTTCTGAAACCTTGGCTAGAAACGTGACATGAAGTCTGCTGGATTATCAAGAATGATCACCTACCTTGAAATCGTAGGAATGGAATTTAGTGATGCACTGAAAATTGTGAAACAAACTAAGGAGCAAAGCAAACAAAGAGGAAAGTGGCTGAAAAAAATAGTGATAAACTGCAAAGAGTTCTACAATGTAATCTGGGTTAGTAAGGATCATCCTAAAAGAAGCAAAATTTGACAACTTTGAGCCAGAATTTTCTCCAAATGAGTTTGCTTTTTTCAGATTTGTTTCTATGACCTCTTGTGACATTGAACAGTTCCTCCATATAGAAGAACAGACTGATGGACAACAGAAGGAGTTTTGACTTCAATAACCTCAAGATGCACATGATCATCCAACACAATTGTGCTGTTGATGAAAACTAGTCCAGGTATAAGCATTTTACTCTCAAAATATTCAACTGATTCCTTCAATATTAGCACTTCTGCATTGGAACTGAAGAAGAATAAACATTTTAAATTGTTTTTGGGTGTATAAGCACAGACTTTAAAATTGGGTGTTAATTTCAGAAAATTATACAGTCATATTTTAGGACATATTTAAGTTATTTTAACATCATAAATGTTTGCATATTTCTGGCATTAATAGGTCATCGAAATCCTCATTTTAGTGATAAGTCACTATGAGCACAGTCCTATACTTTTTGTTGTTGTTTAGTTGTTAAGTTGTGTCCAATTTTTCGCGACTCCATGGACCACAGCATGCCAGGCCCTCCTGTATTCTACTGCCTCCCAGAGTTTGCTTACTAAGAGGCAAATCCCAACAGGCTTCAATGGGACAGTATATTAAACTCCACCATTTGAAAGAAGGTATAGAAAAGCAGACACAATATAGCTGCTGGAAAGTATGTAAACTACACAGTAGAAGTCTCAAAAACATTGACTGGCCATACCAGATCCTTTATAAGACTTCTGAGTGAATATTACTGTGTTTTCTTTTTAGCTAGCTAACATTAAGCAAGGGGGCATGTAACATTATTCCAAGTGCCACTTTTCTGTTACAGCAAATATACTGTACTTTGTATTTGCAACCGTAGAAGACTGGAAATCAGCCTAAGATCTACTTGACCTTCACAAGAATTTTACTTACAAATTGCATAATTGTTATTTGAAGTGAAAGGAAGCAATTTTACATAGGCATTACACTTCCAAAACAATGTGAATGCAAATAAAGGTTAAAATTGTATTAATAGAATAATTAAGACATATATTTCCTCTTTTTTTCCTGTTCTAAATTCAATAAACACTTCATTTAACAAAAAAATAATTAAAATGCAAACAATGTAAGCTGAGTTCCTCAGCCAAAAGGAGGCATATGTTATAAACTCAAATCTTTTTTCCTTTCCAGCCAAACTATGAATCTTTAATGTAGTGAAAGCTATAGAGGAAAAATTCCAGGGTTGCTTAAGAAAATAAAAATATATTAAATTGTTCAAACATGCAAAACATGGGAAAGAGATGGACAAAAAGCATAGTACAGATGACATGCTGAATCTTCCCCTCCTCCAAGAGTCTTTAAGAAAAGGATGCAATACGAACAGAGAAAACTCAGACTTCAGTGATTCTAGCAGAACTCTGATACTGATAGATTCTGTGAGAAGCAGAGAGTCCTAGAAGAAGTGCACAATTTAATTCTAGTTAGCTTAACATACAGTGTTGGAGAACCTTTCATGGAAAACCAAGGAAGTGGAGAACGAGTGCAATGCACACACAAAAGGATCAAGAATGAGGAGATGATGAAAAGCAAAGATTAAAAAAGTGGTCTGCATGTAAAATACCTTGAAATACTGCAGAGGTAAAAACAGTATACAGATGTCAGAGAACTGAGACACATTCTCTACCCTGATCCTGCTATTGCCTTTCCTATTATGGCATTTTAATTTCTGTTCCTCAAGACCACACAGTTTTCTTCCTTCTACACAAACAGGTCTCTCACCAAACAAAACAAAAAAGGGAGGGGGAAGAGAGGAAGGAATTCTTCTTCATTATGAAAGAACATGATGATGACTTGTAACATACACTGTTGTCTTTCAAAGACAAAAGTTGAGAAAATGGTGAAAAGAATGGTATCCTGATTCCTAAATTAAGTATGTGGAAGAAAGAACATAATGTTTAATATAGTTAGTGGACAGTGAAGATACTAAAAGAATAACACGGGGAAAAGGCCAGAGTATCCTTCAAAACAGGCAGCCTACCATTGTCAGCACAAAACAATAAGGACTGGGGACTAACCTGATGAAATAAATTGGCATAGATGCTCAAATGAAGAGGGAAGTGACAAATGAACAGTTTCCAGAAGACAACCAACACGACGAATTTAAAGGGAACATGTGAAGGAATTTTGAACTTTTATCCTTCAGATGATGTACTTCATGATGTTCTGTGGCAACTGCTGTTTCTGAAGGTGCCCTTTTGTCTTAACTGTACAATGATCCCAATACGAATTAAACACATTTCAGAGCTGCTGTGAGATGACACCATGATTATATTAAAGAAAATAAGTACCATTATTATAATATGACATCCCCAATGTCTTTTGGCTTTGGGTCATCATTTTCAAATCCATAGCCAATTTCCAGCAGTTCACCTTTTTAACTAGAGAAACAATGATGGAAAAAGAAAATGGTGAAAACGGAGCCAGTTGGATATCATCATTACATCTGCTTCAAAAAAAGAAACACATCAGAAAACACACTGTATAATAACTACTAGAGCTGTAGTGTGAAACTCTTCCCAGTAGTCAGCTAATGCAAAAAAATTGTTAATTTCCTGCATATTTAACAGAAAAAAAGATCACTGACATCATCATGTTATGTTACGTACCTTGAATATCTCACTCTTTTGATCCCCCTCCACCCAAAAAACAAACAAACAAAAAACCAGGGCGAGTGAGGGAGAGAAATATCCATGCATTCTATAGCTTGGTGAAATCTACTTCTTTTACACAGTGACATAAAGAGAAACAAAAACATAGTAGTTATAGGCTATTTTTAAATTGTCTATGTCCTTCGCAAAATTTTCTTGTCTATGCCCTACAAGATCCTGTAGTTTAAATCCCATTAACTTC